TATATATACATATATATATATATATACACACCTTGCTACGTGTACTGCGTTAGGCTAACCGAGACTTGTCATTTGCACTTATATATTGTTGCTCTTTTGTTAGTTTTGACTGCTTTTATTTTCCTCATTTGTAAGTCGCTTTGGATAAAAGCGTCTGCTAAATGACTAAATGTAATGTTCATCATTGGCTAGTTTACAATGCAGTTACTCGGAAAGTAGACCAGACATTTTAATGGAAATAATGCAAACGTTATATAGAATTCAAATGATGGGGAGTACAGTGGTATTTGTATGGGTGCCGGCGCATATTGGTGTCCAAGGAAATGAAACTGCAGATAAAGAAGAAAAAGAAGCAGTTATTATAATGTACAGATATTAACTTAATTGTTAATCTAAGTAAGAATGAAATCAAGAGTATTATTAAGAAAAGACTGAAGGAAAGGTGGCAAAAACAATGGGATAAGGAGAAAAAAGGTCGATGGTTTTACAGAATTCAAAGGAAAGTGGGAGAGATGAGATAGTAATATCAAGGATGAGATTTGGACACACAAGATTAAATAGTAAACTTTATAAAATGGGTAAACATGATACGGGAAGGTGAGAATTTTGTGGACAAGAAGAAACAGTGGAACATGTTATACTGTACTGTCAGAAATATGAGACTGAAAGAAGGATGCTAATGCAAAATTTAGAAAAAATAAAAATGCAATTTATACCGAGATATATTTTACAAAATAACTCATGGAATGAATGCTATAGTTTTATTTTTCAGTACCTTAAAATAACTAATTTGTGGGCGTATGGCCATGATAAGCGCTGAATGAATGACAGGCTTTCTGTTGTAACAAGGTAAATAAGGGTGACATCTAGTGGAGAAGACTAATGATAAGATTCACGTTAATCAGATCTTGTTTTAAATGTGTGCTGAAATAAATACTGGAAAAGATTGATTCGCGGCTTTTGAGAATCGATTTCGAATCGACGTCATTTAAAAAAAACTATTAATCGGAAAATCTATTGTATTTTCAGGGCTTGCATTTTTTAGGGGCTGAAATTCAACATAGTTGTTTATTTAAGCTGTGGATATTTCAATTCAAAACATTTCACACACATTTTCATCATTTAAAATTCAATAATTCATATTCACCTTCCAGAGTTCACATTCGAAATATTCAATCTGTTTAAAAATACGATGTATAATATTCGGCCCATTTTATTTCACTTTACAAATTCGCTTCCACAAATTCAGTGGTTCAAATTCGGCATAAAATTCAGCATTGCACATCCGGGAACTGCAGGAATAGCAGTAGAGTACCGATGCATGATCATGAAAATGTGTGTGAAATATTTTGAATTGAAATAGTCACAGCTTAAGTAAACACTTAAAGCTTAAATATGTTACATTTCAGCCCCTAAAAATGCAAGCCCTGTTAATGCAATGCATTATTTTTTTCAGTTAGTGCAATTGAGCATGCTTTTTTGTTTCAAAGACATTTGTCTTTATTTTCCTTCCATACAAACCTGTCTGCGTTTCTTTCTTCTGCCGAAGATATTTTGAAGAATATGAACAGTTTCTGGCTCTTGTTAACTTCCATAGTACTTTGTTCCATACTATGGAAGTCAATAAGGGAATGGCAACTGTTTGGTTATTCACTTTCTTCAAAATATCTTTTGTGTTCAGCAGAAGAAAGAAACTCATGCGGGGTGATAATGAAGGTGAGTAAATGATGACAGATCAAGTAAATCTATATCACAGTTTCTCTGCAAAAACCATTTCTTTGCAGTTAGGGATGGGCAATTAAAGTAAAATCGTGTATTATAATAATATTATGGTCTATATGGTCTAAAAAAAAATTAAGTGATTCCAAAAAATAATGTTTTTTTTGTTTTTTTTGAACCACAGTCATGCTAAAAATGTATCTGTTACTTCTGCTTGACATTATTATTTAATGCATGCAGTGAGGCTTTTCTATTTTTAGAAGAATGTTTTCTTTGCCACCGAGGCCTCTCCATGGTCTATATATGATAACATGGCATCTATATGCAATGGAGCCTCCAGAAAATATTTAATGGGCCAGAGGGGCAGTAAATATCCAGGGATGGAACACAAAATCATAATCACTTAGAAAAAAGGTGGTAACCTGCATTTGTTGTTTGTACTAGGATGTAACCCATAAAAAATTACTTCAGTTGATGTCATTTGTCAGGATGATATAGTCAAATTAAATGACTTTATTGACTTGCACACAACCAGTAAATTTAGATGTTACCACATAAAGCACAATATTTAGGTTTTATGAAAAAAAAAAAACGTAATGTAGCATGCGCTGTAATAAAGCATTCACTGTTTCTGGAGATTGCAATTCATGTGTTAAAGACTTGGGGTTGACCTGGGGTGACTAGCTCTGAAATGAAAAGGAAACTAAAACATGATTAACTATGCTGTATGTGTGCTTACTTCAGTTTTGTCATTTTCTAGTTCAAAGTGATTCTCTCATGCAGTATGATTAAATTGCACGCAGAAGCGGAGGTGGAGTTTGAGAAGGAAATTCTAAATTAAATTAATACTGAATGATTGCTGTTGAATTTTGGTGTAAACATCTTAAGTCCAGGTTTGATGATATGTGCAGAACTGTATTATTCAAATATAAACAGTTAACACGCTCTTGGCAGATGTGGGGGCTTTGGCTATATGTAATAACTTATATGTAACTATATTATATAACCTATATTAGTCATTGCTTCCTGAAGTAAGTAACATTGTTATATTAACTTGGTTAATTTGGTTACCTTGTTTTTTTGTATTGGCGTTTCCATACATTTTCTTGTTTACAGGCTCCACCAAAGGAAGTTCCCAAGACAATAGAAAACCAGAGAATATATGATGAAACTACAGTCAACCCAGAGGATGAGGAGGTGATTTGTGAACTCTATTCCACCTGCTGACTGCTTCAGACCTCATTTACAATTTTGACCCTAACCTGGAACTAATTTGTTTGAAATCCAGGTGGCTTTTGATGAAGGAACCGACGAGTTCTCTGCTTACTTCAATCAGCTGACAAATCCCAAAGTTCTCATCACCACTTCGGACAGGCCCAGAGGAGTGAGTTCAGTTTTCACTTTACTGTTCTGTTTTCTAATTCACTCTCGTTATAAATGAGCATTTTAGAAAATGTGTGTCTTTCAAATATTTAGTTTTTATGGGTTCATGTTTTCAGAGGACCGTGAGGTTTTGTGAGCAGCTGGCAACAGTGGTCCCACATGCACATGTGTATTACAGAAGAGGTCTGGCGTTGAAGAGAGTCATTCCACAGTGTGTATCTAGAGGTTTCACTTATCTGATGGTGATCAATGAGGACAGAAAGGTGCCAAGTATCCTTTGCTCAGATGTCAGTATATAACCACGTTTTTAGATCTGTGAGATTTAGTTGTATCGTCGTCTTAATGAGATCATGAGAAGCAGCCACTGAATGCTACATGGAGGATTTTCCCTCACTTAAAGTATCACAGATGGTTTGATTCTCTGTCACCTTCCTGATGGCCCAACTGCACATTTCAAAGTCAGTAGTGTTCGCCTTCGCAAGGAAATTAAGGTTAGTGAATTATTGTTTTTTGTGTGTGTCTATGGTTTTGTTTTGTTACTGAGTTGTAATTTAATTAAATTAGTCATGCAGTGAATTTTGATGGCCCATGATGTGCGTTACAACATACTAGGGGTGTGCAATATTGACAAAAAAAGTCTCTATATTTTCTGGAATTAAAGTGAAAAAAGTGACGTGACATGTGGCCAGGTATGGTTACCCATACTAGGAATTAGTGCTCTGCATTTAACCCATCCTAAGTGCACACACACAGCAGTGAACACACACCCGGAGCAGTGGGCAGCCATTTATGCTGCGGCGCCCGGGGAGCAGTTGGGGGTTCGGTGCCTTGCTCAAGGGCACCTCAGTCGTGGTATTGAAGGTGGGAGAGAGCGCTGTACATTCACTCCCCCCACATACAATCCCTGCCGGACCTGAGACTCGAACTCGCAACTATTGGGTTACGAGTCTGACTCTCTAACCATTAGGCCACGACTTCTCCCCGAATTTTATCGATTACTATTGTTAGACAATATTTGTGCTGACATCTTAAGGGCTACCGTGGACAGCTGACTCCTAATGTTTTTGATATTCTTCATATTCTGTGTGGTGGTCAGTTCACAGCAGTGATAGAAAGTAGCTAATCTTTTTCAATGAGTTTAAATAGATTTTTTACCTTTTATGGGCATTTTTACCTTTTATAAAGCCATTTTTTCTAAAAGTGTGGATCATCTTTTGAGTGGAATTCCTACATTTAATCAGTCGGTTAGAATAAGACTTTTGGGCTTTTACTAGGCAAATGAAATCCGTATCAACAAAATGTATCTTTGCAATGCAGAGGAAACACAGAAGCTGCATCTGAAGTGGCATTTAGATGTATTTACACACTGTTTAATGCAGCTCAGAGGGACATGGAATGATTTCACTTACAAATGCATAAATGTTTTGCTATTTGAAATGATTTAAAAAAGAAAAAGGGAAAAAAAAAGAAAAGATATGATATGATATGATAATGAAATTAAAACCGCCAGTAGGTGGCAGCAAGTCACTGTTAATAAGTGAGTCATTGCTATTGAACCGAATCATTTAATCGGTTGATTCATTCAGGAACGAAACACTGTCATGTTGTTTAGAGACACAGAACAGTGCTGTGGTTCTGTTTGGAATTATTTTTGTAGGCGAAATAGAGCAAAAACAGCTGATATGGTGTTTAAAACATAAGTCTCTTAACTTGTTTACTGAACTGTTGTGTTGTATAAAATCAATTTCACATTTGTAATCATGCTGATTATTGGAAAAAAAACGGCTCTCTTCGTGTGATATTAACTATATGGCGTAATGGATCTATATATATATTTATACATTTTCTACTATCCCCATATCTTGAATTTTGTGTTCATTTAAAAATCTATTTTAATAGACTGAATGACGCAGTGAAAGAACGCACTCTAAATGCGCACGCGCACTAGTCTCGCGTCACGTATGCGTGCACTCTGTAAGTGTTTTGTTTGTTTTTTTGCAATGTACTCGATAATGTCAAATCGCACATCGTTAACAACAATTATGATATTATCGCAGACGATATATATCGCACACCCCAACAACATAATCACATAATCATTTTGACTTATTATATTAATAGAGTTCGGCAGGGATGAAATATTTCTGTAGTTCAAACCAGAAGTTAGCATTACCCTGTTTATCATTAAAATGACAAATAAACACAAGTTTTATGAGTTTTGAAGCCCAAATGCAGTCGGCAGAAGTTAGGAAATAAAGAACCGTGGTCACTTGACTTCAACATCACCACCAGCTAAGCTTTAGACAACTCTTTTAATCTTTATTTAAGTCTTTAAGTTGGAAAGATTGAATAGAATAGTTTTGGAGAACGCAAGTATAAATACAAAAGGGCTGTAAATCAGACTAGATGAGATTTTCTGCTCAGCATGATGATATTTAAAGTCCCCAAAAGCCTCTAATACTATTTAGCCATTTATTAGCAACTGCCTTTTTCAAGATGTGTAAAAAGCTAAATAAATCACAAGAGGGCATTGCTGATGCATTTCATGTCGTAGAATAAAAAGTGAAAATATTGTGCGCTTGTGTTAACCACAGAACGTATTTCAGGCATTTCACCAAAACCCAATTCAAAATAAATAAATAAATACTTAGGGACGATGGAACCCAGAAGTTCGAAAATGCTTAACCCTAATTCCTGTTTTCCCTCACTAGAGAAGAGGTAAGGACCCAACGGAACACGTCCCAGAAGTCATCCTTAACAACTTCTCTACTAGACTCGGTCACTCCATCGGCCGGATGTTTGCTGCTCTGTTTCCTCATGATCCACAGTTTGTGGGCCGTCAGGTCGCCACATTTCACAATCAGAGAGACTTCATTTTTTTCAGGTTTCACAGGTAAATAGTCTCATTTGAAAGGGCAGTGTAATTGTGAAAGCTTACATATATGTAAGATTTGTTAGTGTAGTCATTGTCACAAGGAGAGCTAAATTTATGATACCTGTTGTGATCAAATTTGTTTTCATCTACAAATCACACTGCTGATTACAGAACCGGCATTACTATCAAAATACGCATGACAATCGCATTCGATTAATCGTGCAGCCCTACACTGTAGATTCTAAAAACATATGTATGTATGTATTATAGTAAAAATAGAGACATGTTCAGAATATCAAGTACGGTCCAAAAGTCTGACACTGCTATTAGAGTCCTTATATTTTGCATTGTTACATTTTAACTGGATGGAAATTATATACAGATTAGGAACTTCTATTTCTACATGACTGAATAAACTCATGTATATCTTACAGGTACATCTTCAAGAATGAAAAGAAAGTGGGCATGCAGGAACTAGGACCTCGCTTCACTCTTAAACTTCGCTCTTTACAGAAAGGATCCTTTGACTCAAAGTTTGGGGAATATGAGTGGGTTCACAAGGTGCGTTCTAAATCTAAAATCTCACTTATGAGCAAAATTGCTTGTGTAAATGTGCTGTTATTTGTCAGCAATTTATACTATGTGTCCGTCATGCGTGATTAACTGCTCCTTTAAATGTTTCAGCGCCATGAGATGGACTCCAGCAGAAGAAAGTTCCATCTTTGAGGGCCAGAATGGAAACACAGGACAACCGTGTTGACTTTTCATGAATATCTAAAAAATCTTTTGTTATGGAACGAAAGTATTGTAGAAATGCAAGCTTTGTCTTTACTGTATTATATTTTCTTCATAAGAATATTGTAACCAGGCTGGACACAAAGAGACTTGATGTGTCTCAAAACATGACAAATAAATCAAGTAAATGTATCATAATGACCTTTTTTCCCATATTTGATTGAAGACATGGGTGGAAGTGGCAAATTTGTGGTGAGTGTTTATGTGAAATTTCAGATTAAAAAGACTGATGTCTTGTTCTGTCTTGATTTTGCAATACTGAAGTTAGGACATACACAAAATACTTTCAGATATGCAAAAAAACAAACCCTTGGAAAGACTTCAAACTAAATTCGTCATTGTAGATTTCTGAACTTTTAATAAAAATGTTTTCTAACAGTCTTCTCTGATTCAGTTTTAGCATTTTAAAACGTTTTTGTTTGTACTGTGAACTTGTTTAAATCATCCTATAGATGGAGGAGCTTATGCTGATTATGCTTTACAGACACTCTTCATAGTCTTGTGAGGTTTAAAATGAATTTAAAACAGTTAATAATAGAAAATGATTATACATAAAATATAGTGCAGTCAGTTCGGACATTGCACAGTGCTCATTCAGTAAATGCGCAGCTAAGCAGATGAGTTTTGAGTCTGCATTTAAATGTGACTAATGTTTTAGCACATCTGATCTTTTCTGGAAGCTGATTCCAACTGCGGGCGGCATAATATCTAAAAGCGGACTCCCCTTGTTTTGTGTGAACCCTTGGTATTTCTAACTGACTCGATCCTAATGATCTGAGTGCTCTGTAAGGTTTATGATCAGTGAACATATCTGCTATGTATTTAGGTCCTAGGCCATTGAGTGATTTATAAAGAAGATACGAAAGTTTTTTTTTTCTTCTTCTAATGTATATATAGAGGAAATGGGGTGGGTTGTTGATTAGGTGTTACAGTTATAAAATGATGTACATTTAAAAACATTTTAAATGAGTCAGTGCTGCACACTTAGAAACCATAGAAGTTTTATTCCTCTGCTAAATGCTAAGTGTAGTATTTATTCATTCAATTATTTGAGTAAAATATTTAGATGGCTTATTAAACTTTATATGTGTGTGTAAATTAAAATATTAAAATCAAGCATTTACAAAAACAACAAACATTCTCTATACAATAAACATTAAAAATATTAGATCAAACAGCACAAAATGCAATTTAAAAAACCTATAGAAATGTTTTGGGAAAGTGTGTGATGTGAATTAACAAATCAGATCTAAAATAATTAAGATAATGTCATATACAGTGGGCCAGAAGTGTCATACATGTTTTTTTTTTTGTTTTTTTTTTAATGCAATTAGCATTTTAGGGCACTTATATCAACCAGTTTCTGTAAAATTTTGTTTTTTGCCCAGTTTAGAAATCAAACAAATACACCATCCAAATACTGTGAGTCACTTATCGCCACCTACTGGCGTAACAGTGAAACCTGCAGATTAACAGTCTGTCTGGAGTAAATCAGTCAAAAGTGCCGTATAATATAAAACCGTTTTTAATATAGAATGTTTTAATTTGCTGTCGATATTATTTTTTTTATTTATATATATTTTTTTGGATGGATATATAGGGAGCGCGGGGCACAAAGTAACGCGGGGTAAATTGTAACACACGTGGTTTAAATATTTCCACACATGCTAGCATAACCAAATTTACTGAAGCTCGGGGGGGGGGTTTATGAGCGTCCCGTTGACCCTGGTACTGTTTGATTACTCAAGATACCGTTACTTAGCACTTCACACTCCCACGCGCACACTGAAACCATCATAAGGTAAATGTGACCATGAGCGGGTTTACTGGCAAGCGGAGTGGAATTACAGAGGTATGTTTATTAAATAACATTTTTAAATGTTTAAATGAATAAATAACCATGCCGTTTCAACAACTAATTCTACTTGCATGTCTTCTTTTGATTTGTTATTTTTGTTTTATTTTTAATATTTTGAATGAAGCGTGTGGAGCTGCATGTGTTTTATGTTCCCGATGATCAGTTTGATCGGAGGTTGAATAAAGTATCAGCTGAAGCTGTGGACACTTTCGTCTCAGCTGGATTTATCAGGTCAGTTGCTGACTTCGTCTTCTGGGAGTCTGGAGCTACTTGTCACGGTTTACACTTGTGGATATTCTTGAAAGTGAATTGGTGTTGACCTCAAATAAACTCCATATATTAAACCGTGAACAAACCATTGTTTTAACCAGAAAATTGCGAGAGAAAAAAAATACAAACCATGCGTGACAACTTGCCATGAAAAATGCTCTTGTCCATGAACACAGTTCAACTTCTTGGTTAAAATCTACCGTCATCATAGTTTATTCTTGTCTAGAATCTGTGGTTTTATTTATCTAACAGATATTATATGATGATATTGACTTTTTATTCACATAACAATTCTCATACAATTATCTAAAATAAGAATTAAATAGAATTCACATAACAATGGCCTAAATTAACTTGGTGTTAATTTAGTTTCATATTTCCAGACAAGTTTAATCCACAAATAAATGTAAAGAGATAATAATAATTCTACCTCCATAGCCCTACTGGGTTTATTCATATGTGACTCTGTCTGATCTCAGTGCTTTTTGTTTCAGAGTCGATTCAGATGTGAGTCTGTCTGATCTCAGATCTGATCTTGGAACATTTCTTGGGCTGGACAGGATCGCAGATAGATATGTTTTTTTTAAATGTGTTGGCAGAAGTTTGGCACTGGTGAGCAGCTATCATTGCAGAATAATATACAAGTTGGTAAAAATGTATATAAGTGTGCAACCAAAGGCTGGAGTTTATTTTATTTATTTATTTTTGCATTACACCAAATCAAGCACATAGTGTGACGATGATGATCATGATGAGTATGATGATTAAACGTTTGATTAGACACAGGACATAAATACAATCATTCATTTTCAGTAAAGACAATCTACAACTGCAAAATGTGAGACAATTATGTAGACAGATGTGTGATGCATAATTGCCCTTGAGTAGCATGGAAAAATGTAAAGCTAAAATAAATACCACTTTTTTTCATTTGATCTCAGGTTCAATTCAGACAAGAGGGAGAACTGACAGTAAAATCCTTCACTCCACCATTTGTAAGTGCTTGTGAAACAAAGGCGATCTAAGTTTAGTTTTATTTGCTGTAGTCAGCTGATTTATGCTTCTTTATGATTGTTTGTTTATGCCTTGTTTCCTTGACCCCATTAGGCTCCTTTTCCTGAGCTCTACATTTTACCCGTGGGAGAGAATGACAGTTGCCTTTGCTCTAGCTCTCTGACCCCTGATACTTTAATTAGCAACACTGACCATCACAGTCACGATTTGCCCAGACCAACATGTGTGCCTGTCAATATAAAAGAGCCCATTAAATTCCCCTCAATCAATAGAGGACCTCAGCAGTCTGTCCTAATGCAGGATGCAGAGGAGGATGAGAGCGATGAAGACACAGGATCCACTGACACTCCTCATCTAACACACAGTTCGCAAGATCAGATTGGGCCCGTACACAAACAGTCCGGTATGAAATGCTAAGAACATAAGCACAGATGCACTCAACTACACCTGGGGCCAGTTGCACCAGCTGTGTCTAAGTTACAACTTAGCTTTTATGTAAAGGGGCACTAAATTACACCTTACGTACTGCTAACGATTTTTGCGCTGCACCATTAACTTTAGTTGAAACATAATTCTGCATACAAACTAAATATTTATGGAAGCTTTAAAATGGGAGTAATGGTATTGATTGAATTGCACCAGTAAGCTCATTTTATCTGATAAACTTCCATCTTTTAGACATATATGATAATGTTGGCATTTACACTTACTTACTAAAACTACATTTAAATAATTACTTTGTTAGTGGCTCTTCAAAACAAACCCGGCCTAAACAGCGCGCCTCTGTGTGCATACGTGTTGTGCATGTCAAATAATATTATAATGAATAAATGTAATTTCTTATGTTTTTTCTTTTGTATCAGTATATATTTATAGATCCTTATTACTTTCCAATTACTGAATGTTATTTACATATAAAAATATACATGATTAATTAATAACATATCACAATGGAAACGCATTTACCGTTTAGGCAAAATAAGTTACAATCAAGTATAAACTAAAATTCAACACAATTTCGGCTCACACATTTAAAGGCTGCATAGGAATATTGAAGGTAAATGTCATATGACTGCACATTACTTCACGGAGAACTCATGAACCACTAGCTACATTCTGCCTTAAGAACAAATGGTGCAACTAAATAAAGGTAAGTTATAAACTAACTAACTAGTAAGTCTCTAGTAAGAACATAGGAACAGCTGGTGCAAATCTACCCTGGACTTTTCTTGGACCCTCCCCAGTCTTCCTTGTTTAACCCAGCTGAATTAACTGGTGTGACCAGTAAGCGAGACATCCAAAAGAATATATATATATAATATGAAATATTTAAGGGATACAGTGCAGTTTGTCTGTTAATCTTATTGTAATGTTCATTCATGTCAAATGCAAGATACCTGACAAAATATTATATGTAATATACAAAATTATTGCGTTTTTCATTTTTGTTCAATGCAGACAGACGTCTTGCTAAGCAGGGAGGCTTTTCTCAAGTAGAAATGAATACAGCTGCAAAAAAGAAACATTGTTTTAAAAGAAAAAACAGAAACTCTGGAGCTATGGAGTCATTTGAGGATTCTCATGGACTGGCAAGGTAACCTGATTCTTTTTGCTTTTGTAATTGTGGAAAGACTGAATTGTTAACTATTGGCAATACATTTTTATCTGTATTAGATCTGGAATGGAATATTTAATTGCATTTAATGCCCTATATTATACATCTAGGAAATTCAACAGTTCTCTGACACTGAAATCAAGTGAAGAAAATATGGTAAGAGATAAACTTATTAGTCTCAAATTACGTTTCATACATCCAGTGGATCTTTAATAAGCCATTCTGCTTTTGTACAGAATGCAGTGTTGTTGTAGTCTCAACATTTCACCCAGACTCGCATTCCTGTGGAGCGTTTCTGAAGGTTTAGTAAAGATTTTCCAGACAAAACAGGAAGTAACGTACCTGTAAATGGCTCATCCTTATAAAGACAACATGAGGTTTATTGGCCAAGTAAAATTCCTCTTGCAGCTGGAGGTTGAAGAGTGTTCTGGACATTGTTGTAAGAAGCTTTTAATGAAGATTTTATGTGTTTTCACAGGTTCTTATGTATAGACCAACCTCTCCACTCCCAGCAGAGAGAAGTTCTCCACTGTCTGTCTATTCCCTTGAACTTTATACACAACAAACAACCACTAGTAAGGCGGTTACTAATAACTAACAAATTACTACTAACAAATGCTGTTG